GGGAATCCCCTCAACTATAACTGTGTCAGAAGGACCAAGAGGAAGCTCTTGGCTATTATTGGTGGCCTCACATCTTCCAACTCCATCCACATGGCCCACGTCTTGAATGGCTACAAGATTCCACAGGTAGGAGGATTTTTCAGATATCATCTTGTCGATTTTTAGAAATGATCAGTCACTTCCTGAGCCACTCTTCATAATTTGTAAGGTTAAAGTATATTACTCAGTAAATTGAATTGCATCTCTTTTCTTATCATGCACATTTGATTTTAATATTTTATTTTTTTTAAAAAAAGGGAGCACAAATTCTCAGACTTTCATAGTGTGAAGGCTATTATCTGCTTTTTCCATGTCAGTTTTGATGGCAAGCGTTGGTTGTGTCTACTTCCATCATAATGTCAGAGAAGGAGCAGAATGTACATTTTGGGAGGACCTGGTTTAATCAAAGGACTTCATAGACACTTATGGTACAGGGACACTAAGGAAGATAAAAATTTAACAGTGCAAATATACTTGAAAGAAATACATAGTACAATGCAGAAAATGTTAGAAATTAAATTCAAAATGAAACTACAACTCTTTTTATTAGGAATAATCTCAAAAAAATCAAGAAGAGAGATCATTTAATGAATTGTATGCTTACAGCAGCAAAAATAAATTATGCTCAACATTGGAAGAAAGACGCAATTCTGACAACATCTGATTGGAAACCAAAACTTGGAGAATACACAGCAATGGCAAAACTAACACTATATCTACACAATAGAAGTTTAACTACATTTAGGGAAGAATGTTCCCCATACATATCAATTGGTTTTTAAGGAGGTCTAAACCCTTGTAAATATTTCAAGCACGCATATCTTTTTTTCCTTTTTCTCCTTTCAATTTTTTATCTTTTTATTACGTTTTTATCTTTTGTTACGTTTTTAGTATCTGAAATTTGCTAACCTGTTTTTGTTTTGTTCACTTATTTTTATCCTTTATCAACATGTATCAAAATACATCTATCCATACTCATACATATATAGATAACAAAAATATGTATATTTATATATATACCAAGTAATACCGCGAGGGAGACTTTATTATCAAGTAATTAAGCTTAAAACAGAACCCTTTATTGTAAAAGAAATACCTTGATGTATCCTATTCCTGTATTTTCTCATTCATTTCCAGTGTTTACTTTTGAAGGAAAAGTCACATACTCATAACGCTTGTAACGTTAATCTCTGAAACTGTAACTACTATTGATAGAATATCCCCTTATCTATATTCAATGCTCTAAGGCATCTAAATAACAGGATATTAAGGCTCTGGTATATAAATATCAATGTACTGAATAATACACTGTAGTAAAACTGAAAAGATGGAGCAAGAGATGGTCTATATGGCTAATTAAAAATATGTGAAAGGACTGACTTAATTTATATATTAATGCTTTATGGATATATCTTTATTCAGATGTCACTCATGTAATTACTATTTTGTATATTTGTTCTTTTATTATATTAGCACTGTTATATTTTTGGATATACTTCATCATGCCTTCTAGTTGTTATACTTTACCATAAAATGTTTAAATGTCAAAAGAATCATAATGTCAATGTAGCCTCCAATACTCAAAGAGAGAATAGAAAAACTTTATGTTCTCCTAGACAGAATGATGCACTTCTCAGCTGAATTTTCAATCTATCTTTCCTCCAAATAGCTTGGTTATGGCTGCTTTGACCCAGTCCTGAGTGATAAAAGGAGGTTCCCTTCCTTCTTCAGCATGGTTCCCAATGAGAACTTACAATATGAGGGGATTGTTCATCTATTGAAGCATTTTGGATGGAACTGGATTGGCCTTTTGGTATCAGAGGATGAGAGTGGGGAAAACTTTCTTCGAAATCTGCAACCAAAACTCTTCCAGAATGATATTTGCATTTCTTTTAAGCAGTTGATCCCTGGAATGAGTAATTTGACAATATATTCAGGCTCCTTTGTTGAAAAGTTAAAGAAGATAATAAATATTATCTCCCTGAAGAAAACCAATATCTTCCTTGCTTCCGGGGATGTCCAATCTATGGAGGGTTTACAGTGGACCCTCAGTTCCCAAGAATTTACTGAAATGCTTCCAACTGATCACAGGGTGTGGATCACAACATTTCAGTGGGATTTCACTGTTATCTTATTGCGAGGGAGGAGATTCCCAGCACAAACCTTCAATGGTACCTTATATTTCTCACTCCATGCAAACACGGTGCCAAGATTTCAGGAGTTTCTTAACAGCATGACCCATCTTTTAAATCCCATTCCATTCATCAATCCATTCTGGCAATTTGTATTTCGCTGTTCAATCCCCCCATATCGCAAAGGAGCAAAACGCTGCACAGGAAAGGAAGAACTGGGGAGTCTCT